CATGGAGACCCGAGCGCAGGATGAGACCGAAGGGGTCTGAGCCCCGGGCAGGAAAGAATCTGTTTGTTTCATGTCTTGGATGGAAGGGACCCGGACGGGGCAGCCCGGGGTCCTTGACCGTCCTCACTCCGAGCGGACGCCATCCACAGAGATGCATCGCGGCCTCGAAGGCCAGCCGAGGGCCTGGGAATGCTTTGCCTGGGTGATTAGACAGACAAGTGGCAGCGAGGCAGTGCTTCTCCCTCGAGGGTCCTCCCAGGGCCTTGTGAAGGCAGCGCGAGGCCCCAGCTCTGCGCCGCGTGTTGTTGAGAACTGACCAAGTGACGAGGAGGTTTTGTCATTTCCTTTGGGAGACCATTAAAAAGAGTCCGGCCGATCTCACTGCCAGACTATTTCCCCCTAATGTGAAGCTTAAATTGTTGTGCCCCTCCCTCCTGAGCTGCTGCACGGCCAAGATGTGCATGCGCAGCTTCGGGTTTTACTTTCTGCATTAGAAACGGTTCCAGCTGAGGGGGGAAGAAAAAAAGACTACTATTTAACAGCGAATCCTCTCCAAGAGAGCTGCACGCCCTAGACTCTGAGCAAGAGGTCTCTAGGAGGAGTATTCAGGGACGGTGCCAGGGTACAAGCTCAGCCGTGCCAATGGAAAAGTCCCTGCCAGAAGGAAAAGGGAATAAACTAAGGCAAAACAGAGAGGAGATGAACAGAGGCAAAAGGAATCATTGCGTGGAGCACACAGGAGTTAGGCAAAACCCATGGGTAAGAGAGAGAGAGAGAAAGGGAGGCAGATGCACCAGTATCGTGTGAACGGCAGAGATTTTCTCCCCCTTCTCGTGAGGGGGACTGCCCACAAGGATGCACAGCAGATTATGTTTTTACAGGTCCATCCACTGGGGTAATGTCAGTCATGCTGATGTGACTACAGTAACCAGCAGCATAACTAAGGGGGGGCAATTGGGCTGTCAGCCTCAGAGGCCAGACTGGAGTTCGGGGGGGAGCACAAACAGCAGCCGCTGCCCCTGCGCTCCTGGCCGCTGCCCCATGCTCCACTGCTGCTCAGGGTGCAAAACTGCCTAGTAGGCCTCAGGCAGGGACCTCTCATCTCAGAGAAACTCAGGAACAAGGCATCCATCTCTTTCTGCCTAAGGCAGAAAATAAAAATCAGAGTGCGTCCTAAAAGAGAGGAGGAGAGAAATGAGCGTCTCCGAGCGCCACCAGATCTCCAATGCTGGGGACAGGCGCCCAGGAAGGCTGGGAGCTTAAAGGGCACAATGTTGGAAGCCCAACAAGACACTGTCCCGACACGGGATCGCCTGGGAAGCCAGACTGAAGCAGAGAGGAGTCCAGGTGTTGGCTACAAATGTCCAACTCGGGATCCTTAAAATTCTAGTTTATTAGGCGGATTGAAACACTGTAATCATAAACCTTGGGGCTGGTCCCCACACACACACACACACACACACACACACACAGTAGCAGGCTACAGAGTCAGGTATACCTATCCTACAAGCGCTGGAGTCTGTCGTTGAGGCCTCTTTCAGCGTGGTGTTATCCTCCAGAAGGGGGGCGCCGGCTGGTCCTTCTGGCTGGACAGGTCTGGTCGAGTTGGAGATCAAGAGGGCGCCACTGAGGGTCACTTTTCACTGCCTTTTATCTGTCCCTGGCAGACTTTGGTGACTCCCCAGTTTTCAGGTTTGCCCAATCCAGGGGTCATTGACCCTCGTGGGACTTCCCCCCCCCTCAGTGGCTACTGGACAGCATCTGTCAGCCCCAGGGGTC